AGCGATGAAGTGATCACTCAAGTCAGGCGTATTCAACACCACCCATCCATCGCCCTTTGGGCCGGTATTTACATTAAAAACATAATTTACACCTAGATTTTAAACCAACTCTTAATATTTGTGTACTAAACAAGGTAACAACGAGAATGAGCAAGGTCTGGCCGGTTGGTGGAAACCACATTTGCCACAATACGACGCCGACTATCGCGCCCTATATATCGGAACCATTGGAAAGATACTGTCGACCGAAGACACAACTCGTCCGTACGCGCCGTCGAGTCCGTCCAATGGTCTGCAAGACATCAAAGACAACTACACGTCAAGCAATCCCGAGGACTCACGTTATGGCGATATTCACTACTATAACGACGGCTCCCGTCTCTGGGACTGGACTACGTTCTGGAGCCCAAAGTTTGCCTCCGAATACGGCTTTCAATCGTATCCATCGCTTGAGACACTTCACTCGGCCTTCGATGACAAAGACCTGGTCTACCCGTTGGCGCCTAATGTACAACACCATCAGCACCATCCCGGAGGCGATCAGACTATTGATAAACAGATTGGTAAACATGTATACCATTTATCGTGTAATTATGTTTTGTTAACTCTTTTTTTGTCATATTATTTATTATACAAAAGACTATTATTTGAGACGACCCTCGAGTGGAGGAATCGATCGATTGAATGATTTTGTCTATTCTTCGCAAATAATACAAGCGATGGCTATGAAGACGGAGACAGAGTTTTATCGTCGCAATCGTGCCATTGATCCCAACAGCGGTAATGGGTATACAATGGGAGCCCTGTATTGGCAACTCAACGATATATGGCCGGCGCCCTCCTGGGCCTCCATTGAACACAACGGCAAGTGGAAAGTCCTCCACTCCTATGTTATCCACTTCTTGGACAACCATTTAGTCTCTCCCTATGAAGACAGGGATAAGAGTTTAAAAGTATAGTTTAGACAATTCTATTGTGAATTTATATCAATGATTTATTTATTGATTAATAATTTAGGTATCGTTTGTGAGGGACGACTATTTGGGAGAGTTATCATTCAATTACAGCATTAAAGTATATAAGTGGTCACAAAATACAGCTATTTATACCATCGATGGATTGGCCAAAACTGATAGCATTTCAGCACAAATTATTTACTCGACTCCCATAACAGATATCCTGTCAAAAGCCAAATGTGTGGACAGAAATGATTGCATACTTTCCGTTAATGTCAATAATATGGACCATAAAATTAATGTAACTATAACTATGTAAATTGATCGCAAATTTTTAATAATTTTTACAATTTTTATATTAAATTTAAAGGCAAATAACTTTATGTTATTAACGGAACCGAAAAACTCAAAACTAGTCAAACCAGAGCTCAAACTAATTGAAGTGAAGAAGAAGTCTGTGTCTGAATCTAATGATAACAATCATGTCTTTGAGATCACATTGTCTTCGCAATCGATCGCAGCGTTTGTTGTGATGGACTTTAAGCCCAAAT